ACTCCCAGAATTCCCCAGCCAGCATGCTGACTGGGGAATTCTGGGAGTTGAAGTCCACCCATGCTGGCTAGGGAATTCTGGGATTTGAAGTCCACACATCTTAAAGTTGCCAAGGTTGAGGAACACTGGCCTGGATATTACAGCAATCTATTGTGTTATATATGGCTCCATATTTTCAACCTTTCCACTCAAGGTGATATAAATAAGTATAACACACTTTCCATTTAATCTTTATATCCCTTTGAGATAGCTGAGACTGAGATAATTGGCTTCCCTCATTGGTGCTAAGCTAAAACCAAGCAAAACATGTGATGGGAGCCCAGCCATCGTAGCATTCAAGCCATGGTTTGGGGCAGAGGGTGTTATATGAACCCAGACAATTGGGGAAAAGCACTAAATCTTTGTTGCTATGTTGGTTGTCTATATTTTGGCAGCCCACATATGATAGCCTAGGGCAGTGAATACATTATGTTTATCTAAGCAAACCATAGTTTAAGTGCAATATGAGACTGCATTGAGTGGCCAAAGAGTGCTCAACTTAGCTTAATGGTCAAGTGAGATTTAAATTTGGTTCTCTTGAAGATTAGGAATATCAATTGATATTTGGGCTGAAATATTCAGTTGTATAAAACATGTCTTAATTCCAGTTAGCAAAGTGCACACCATTTCTTATTTAATTTTGGAGGCCTGTTTTCTGGAAACCATAGACAAAGTTTATCCTTTTCCCTATCAGCAACATTTTTCCACTTGGTGTCAAGGAACGCTCTTGGGCTTTGTAGCTGAGCATTATTTTGCCACTAGCCATTTAATGTAAGGTGAATTGATCTGTAGGCCAGGAATGCATAATAGATTAAATAACTTCCTGCTTTTGAACTGAGGAATCTGTGTGGTTAGAAGATTCAGTCCAAATCTAAGCAACTTTCTTCACCTGTCTGCCAAGCTTTTCAGAGTAAACTGTCTCAGAATTTTCTCATTCAGGGGGAGAAAGCGCTGACACTGCAAAACAGAAATGGCGCTTGTTGTACAAAAACAACGAAAGTGTTCTTGTTATTATGCCTTTAATAGGTATCATTTTATTCACCACAAGAAGTTGGCAAAGCAAATCAAGAAAATTAGCAAATACTCCATGGTCTGTGTTTGCAGCCAAAAACATGGCTGCAATTATATATAATTTTTGTCTCGGTTCCTAATGATATACACATTTATGTATGTATGTGTATTTTTATATATTCATACATTTTCCTATTGTTATATTTCTTCACTATTAGGTAGATTACAACTTACGAACTGGATAAACGTGTAATAAAGTATATGATATAAATTTGATATGTAAATTAATAAAATAAAATATTATGCATGTAAAATAAATAAAAACAAAACACTCATCATAAAAGTTTAGCCTCTGTTAATAAATAGTATTACTAAGATCCTGAAATACCAAACATTAAAAAAAAACCAAAGAAACAAAACCAAGCTTTATGCTGTCAAGCTTTACATTGGACTGATTCTTACAACCACTTAACCTAGAGCAGATGTAGAGAAAAGATCACTTGTGCAGTCCTTGGGTTAGATCCAGACATGCTATCAGAAGATCAGGCTTCTACCCGCATGTCTCAGCTGTTTAGGATTTCTCACCCCTGACACACACTTTTTTTTTTTAATTTCAGCCCTCCCACTCTTTAAGCAGTATGCTCAGGGTTGCTGGAGAAGACAGCTTTCCCCAGTCTGATTATGCTTGATCTCAATCTTCAAGATTTCTGTTCTCTCTAAGAATACTCACCTGAAATTACACTTGAAATCTATTCTTGCATTATTTATCTTTAACAGTTCCAAGGATATCATTCAACTGAAATTTATCATTAAATTCATCTCCCATTAAAAAAGCAGACCAAGATAACCCGGGAAATAAAAAGAAATGCTGAGTACTTGAAAAATCAAGATTCACCGGCCACATCCATGTTGCAAGAAACCCCGTTTGAAAACTTGTGTCTAGCATCTCAGGCTATTCTTGAGAAAGCCCAAAAGCAAGGAAGATCAAAATGCCCCAGATGTCACGGCTCAAGGATGTTCTACTGTTATTCATGTTATGTTCCAGTTGAAACTGTCCCTATTGAAGAGATTCCTATTGTGAAGGTTAGTGCAGGAGATCTATTTTTGAGGGGGGAGGGCAGTGTTCTTTGGACATTATATATCGAATTTCCTAACAAGTAACTCTAATAGATGGACTAGATAAAGGATGGAAGCATAAAAAAAGATTTTGCAGTATGATTAGGGTATCTTCTGTGCCAAACTTCACAATAAGTGCCATAACCATAAAGCTGCTATAATGAAAAGAAGAACTGAGGTCACAGCAGCCCAGTGGCACTCTGGACATCTTTTCTAGTAAAAATTCCTGTCCAAACCTTGGCATCCGTGTAGAAGATGATGGAAAAGATGTCTACCCAAATTTGCATAAAAGGCAGACTTTGATTTAAGTCATTCAGATAGTATCTTGTTTCTGATTGTATTCTTCAGTTTCATGTGATTTTTGTTGCTCATGTTCTGTTCTTTCCCATTCTTTAATTTGCTGAAAATTGCAATTGTAACCAATGCAAGTTATGCATGTATTATACTTTGATATCCAGAGCTGAATACAGAATTGAGCAAATTTATATATTTATGGTTGGATTTGAGGGTGCCTTTTTGATGTATGTTCTGGGTTCTTTGTTTAAGCTTCCCTTGAAGATTGACATAATTAAGCATCCCAATGAAACGGATGGCAAAAGTACAGCTGTACACGCCAAGCTTCTGGCATCTGAGGATGTTACCATTTACACATATCCTTGTATTCCCGACTATGAAGAAATGCAACATGAAGTAAGAGTCTGTCTATATGTAGCACAGTGGGAGAACCTTTTATTCCCCATTGCCATGACTGCTGCTGTTAAATATACAATGTGTTCAGCATTGTTTTGCATGTATGAGAGCAGACAATCGGTGTATTTGTCCAGGAATCCATGTAGTAGGACTTACTGTTGCCCAGTTATATTCACAGAATTGAATTCCACTTCTTAATTCAGATTACTTTTGGAGATACAACCCCAGTTGCAAGAATTTCCCCTAGAATACAGATAGTCCTCACTTACCAACCACTTATTCAGTTACCATTTGAAGTTACAACAGTGCTGAAAAACAAGACTGACAACTGGTCCTCGAAGTCGCGGCTGTTGCAGTGTCCCTGGCGTTGGCACACATTTAGGACAGCCGTAGCCTCCCATGGTCACATGATCACTACTTGCAATCTTCATAGGCGGCTTCCAACAAGCAAAGTCAGTGGGGAAGCTGGCAGGAAGTCGCAAGTCATGGCCACGGGATATTGTGCTTAACAACTATGCCATTAGCGATGGAGTTGTCAGTCCTTATTGTGGTCAGTAAGTGAGGACTATCTATATAGATCACCTAAAGCCAAGATGTCAGGAAGAGAATGTTCATAATCAGTAATAACATGACAGTGCTGCGAGAGGATGGGCCTGCATGTCAGCCTATTTGATGAAATAAAGTTTTGCAGGGTTTAACATTTTCTCATATTTGTTTAAACAATGTAGTTAATAAATGTTACACAAGTTCTATTTTCAAAAATAATGGTGGAAGCACAATTTTAAAGTAGATCTTCTAGCAGTTGAATTCAAGCTGTTCTTTATTGGGAAAAATAGTGTTGCCTCGTGGCTGAGATTAAACTACCTCCCCATCAGAATTTCTCAGGGTCAGATCTAGTCTGAGGTAGCCTTAGTTAAGCTGCTCCTACTCACCTCAGTCCTTTTATCTATAATAAGGGGGAATACTACTACTCCTGACTTGCCTTGCAAGGTTTTTGTAACAACTACAACTAAGTGTAGCATATGAAATGTTTTGAACCCTCGAAATCATTACAGAAATTAATATCATTACCATATGGCCCATTTGAAGAATTCAAAACATTTCAGGGTTGTATCATACCAGTTCTGGCAACCACCACGTAAAAAGCAAACCAGTATAGACCCAGCTGAGAAGCTGGGTGAGAACTGAACTTCCAACTTTTGCTTCAAAGTTTACGCTCACACTGACCTAAGCTTTTGAGACAGAAATTACCAGACATAAACAGATCTGAACAAATGAGTCGTGTTTGTAATGGTGATGCTTTTTCAGTTATTTAAAACTAGAGCCAAGCTTACAGATCTCACTAAGGTTTGTTTCCCCCCATTTTTAGATTGCGCTTATTTTTCCTGGACCTAATTCAGTTTCAGTAGGCAACGTTCCTCTCTCTTTGCAAGCACAATGTAAGATGGATACCAAGGGCTTATCAGCAGAACCAGTGCTCAAGTGTGCAAAATTGGAGCCGAGCCACAGTAGCATCATGAGTGAAGATAAATTGCCCAAGGGCAAAAATGCTGCACTGAAAAAAATTATATTTATCGACAGTACATGGAATCAGACAAACAAAATAATCACAGATGAGCGGCTCCAAGGTATTATTTTTATTAATGGAAATCAATCTTGGAAATTATTCTAGGTACAGGACCATCAAGAAGTTGATGCCCAGGGATTAGTAAATGGGGTTGATTATATACTCAAGGCCATAGATAGGCAAGTATAATCCCAGAACTCCTGCAAGGAGCTGGGAGGCTTGTCCATCTACAGGCTGCACATCCAGTATTTGCACACTGAACATTGTCTTGGTCACACTAACATCTCCTGTTGTCCTGAAGGGTTTCTGGGATAAGACATCTTCCCTACAAGTTGAGTATAGTGATTTGCAATTTCCAGAGCCCTGAATCAGTCTTAACGGTCCTCTGCTTGTTTAGGTTAAGAAATGTTATGTGCTTGATGCACAAGGGAGCAATTCTTTGCTGCTTCTGAAACAATATAAGAGCCTTGACTAACAGTTGCAGACATATGGCAAAAATCGTTTCAAACCAGAAATGCTGAGCAGTGTTTCCTGAACTTTTTTCCTTCTTCAGCAGGCGGTCTGCAGTTCTCCAAGCATCACCAATGGAGAACTGTTACCAGGAATAAATACCTCCTTTCTGCTCTGTTTTTCTCCCAAAATTTTTGCTTTTCTAAAACTAATACACTGCATCTAAAACATCTTTTTCACTCCATTCACACACAGTACTATATGGCATTTCAGGAAATAAAGAGTTTTAGAGAAAAACAGACAAGTTATCTAGCCACACTTTGAAAATATGATGGAAATTACTATGTAAATCTGCCTACACAAGTCTTATCAGGGAGATTTCTTGTGTGTAATGCTTTGGAGAAACCTGTTATCAACTTGCTACAAGTAGTTGTCACTCATTTGTGTAATTTAATACCTACATGATTTTCTTTGGTTTCCTTCACTCTGCAGGGTTGCTACAAATCGAACTGAAATCAAGGAAAACCTGTTTTTGGCGCCATCAGAAAGGGAAACCAGAAACTTACCTCTCTACCATTGAAGCAATTTATTATTTTCTAGTAGACTATCACAAGGAGGTCTTAAAAGAAAAATATGATGGACAATATGACAATTTGCTCTTTTTCTTCTCATTTATGTACAAGCTGATCAGAAACGCCAAGGATTCTGCAGGAAAAAAGTGAAGTGTTCCTCATGTAAGATACAAAAAGAAATTATGATCCATTACACTTGGTCCTGTAATACTAATTAAGATTTGAGTTCCTCAAACTGACTTAGAGGATAGAATGCTTATAGTTACTGTCCCATAAATTTAATCCTAAATCCAAACTTTTTCAGGCAAATCTTAAACTAATAAGGGAAGGCTGTCAGAAACAGACCTTGACTTGCAGCCTCTAAATAGAAACGTTTTCCAGTTGTATTGAACAGCAAAAATGCCAGCTTGGAGTCTGTATTTAAAGATAGCCAAAACTTCATTCGTGAGTTTCATTATGTAGGGATGTCCTTTGGACTATCAAGGAAGACTTTGTCTTAGTGATTTTACTACCTATTAAAAATGACTAGAACGATTATTTCATTCCACATCCCAATCCGGTCCCCAAAGGGAAGCCAGACTAATATGTTCAGCAGAATACTAATAGTAAATATGATTGGGACTGAATTAAGCTGCCAATTTGCTTAAATAAGGTTACAAAACTTAGGTTCCTCTACTGACCATTATATATCTGAACAAAGGTTTCCTTCTAAAGCACGAACATCTCTTGTTCAAAGTGCTTCCTTATTTTTGCCGCATAGCACACTTCAGAGAAAGGTGACATTTCTACAGCAGAGGTAGGTCAGTTGCTGGAGGTGGGGGAGGGTGTTTCCAAACCTACAAGGGTCATGACTGGAATTTCCTCACTTTCTTTTTGTGTGTGGGGGGGAGTTTTTAAATAAGTGCCTTACAATTTATGGAGGATTAAGGCACCTATTTTAATGCTTACTCTTAAAAAAACAAACGAAACTTGTGCCATCACAAATTGGCAGTCCTATTAAAGCTCACAGATTGCCCATCCCTGATATCTGGAAGGCACATTGAGCTATCTTGCTTAGCACTCCTAGGTATTAGAGTCCTTTCTAAGCTTCTATCTCATTTAGGCAAATGAGCCACCATAGGAATTGGTCCTTATGCTTTCTTTGCACACAGAGCATATCATTTGGTCCTAAGACTGTGACCTGCAGCAAAATAGCAGTTTCAGAAGTTCAAGGCAGAATATGCAGTGCCTCTTCCTCACTCCAGTGTGTAAACCTGGCTACAATTGGGCAGGCACAGAAGCTACCTGAAAGCTCATTAGATGATGGAGCGTACATCTTAAATCACAAATGTTCTACAAATCTATATAAGTAATGATTCAAACAATAAAAATCTCTAGGAGTCATCTGTTTAATAAACCAAAACAAATGCTTTTATTGTCCATAGTTCTATTATTATTTATTACTACTGCTTCTATTTCTACCGTCAAGAGAAGGGCATCGTGGCTTTGTGCAATGATTAGTACCACTTCCAGTGTATGGATTCTGAGTCTCCTTGAGAGTTTCATCTCTGTGTGTTGCTAAACAAGGACACTTTGAATTCTTCCTAGCAAAGTCACTTGTTGAAGATTGCTGGACTTTGCTTAAAAAGGAACATTCCCACTCTTACCACAACTGCACACAAAAGGAACTGTCTTCCCCCATGTGTTACAATAATCTAACCCTGAAAGACATTCACAGTATCTTCCAGATCTTATTTCCTTGAAACATTTGTAAACTATTGAAAAGTAGACCCAGAGAAACCACTTATATAAACAAATTTTGAACTGATGTTAGGGTTTTAATTTAATCCCCAGTACCAATCAAGTTCCGAAATTCAGAACAGCATCTTTGAAGGCGCAGATAGGAATAATCACATAGGGAATGCCAAGTGCTTGTACTTTTCCTAATGTCAAAAGCTGTTTTAAAAATTGGAAGGGAAAAGGGCAGAGGGGAAAAGTGGAAGAGAAGAGAGATTTGGTGCCCAGCCCAGGATATTGATGTCATTAAATTTGTAAGTTTCATTCACCCACTGAGTGTTCAGATTTCTCTAAATTCAGGCTGTGCCCTGCTCACTCCGGCAGTCCATGTTCTGCTGAAAAGCAGATTTGAATACGGAGCGCCAAACTGCAGACCAAGCTGTGTCCCTCCTGTGGGAGTCTTTTCCTTTATTACCTTCTTTTTTCCACTGCTCTGTAAATTCTTCAAACCCCTAAGGTGACGTTATCAAGTGGAGGAAATATAGCACAGATCCATGGTTGACATAGGAACAAAGGGACTTTTATTAAATAACTTTTAAAAACTGGTTTTGAAACACGTTCACTTATTACCACAAATTGCCTTCATCCCATCAGTACAAGCCTAACCCCGTCTTAAAATTATTCCTAACCTGTCTTCCTAATGGGAAATATTCCAGGCTTAGACTCTGAGGCTCCCTCAGACCTCTCCTTCCACCTGCACTTCCCAAATCTCTCTTCTCCAGGTTCCTCCTCTGCTGGAAGTTGCCCACATTGCTGTCCTTTGACCATTCTGCCACTTAGTCCTCGCAAGCGATCACTGTTACAACCAAGAACAGACTGCAGTCAAAGCCTAGATCCATAGCCACCATTTCCACCACAAGATCCCTCCATTTGGTGATAGAATGTCCCCTCCAGAGGACATCTGACCCAGAAATTACCACTTGTCTCATTTATTTTAAAAGTTGAAAATGTAATAGCAATGTTAGAGAAACAAGTTGGGTGTGTGGGTAGGTAGGTAGGTAGGTAGAGATAGATATGAGAGAGAGAGAGAGATGATAGATAGAAATGACAGAGATAATTTTCATCCATATAAAGACACAGAAGCCGCTCATTTCTCACATAATCCAAAATATTAAATTCTATTTATCCTTCTGACATTGTATATACATAAGAGATGTCCATTTTCAAAGGATTACAAACAATGGGCACCAGTGAGTTGGAGTTACTCTCTTAAGTTCCACTGATTTCAAGGTCTTCAATAAACACAGCCAAATTAAAGGTACGTAATAATACTTTGTCACTGGATGATGTCCTAGACTTTTATGCTCATCCTGCCTGGAAGCACTAATGGCTGTAAGATTCCCGAATTTTGCCTTGTAAAGCATCACAGGTTTTCTTTGCATCTCCAAGCAACATTGAAGTGTTTGGCTTGTAAAAAATGGGGTTGTCAACTGCAGCATACCCAACTCCCAGAGTGCGCTTCATGACAATGACCTAGTGCAGAAACCAAATGAGATAATAAGAGTGAGTTCAACTATTTCTTGCCCTTACTCAAAAATGCTAGGAGTTAAAAACATAGTCTGCCTTCTTAACAGTTTGTTTGAACAGTAGTATCCATGAGCTGTCTTAAGCATACTGCGTATAACTTCAAACGCTGTTTTCTACCAACACCACCACAAGCATATGCAGAAAATACTCTTGATAGAAGTCTGTAGATTGTTAACTGGGGTAAGTATGAAACAGAAATTCACAAATAGTATCATAAAATCATAAGGTTGGAAGAGACCATTAGGCTGAGTCTAAACTCCTGCTCAGTGCAGAAATTAAATTAATGTCACTTAAATCATTCCAGACAGATGGGTTTGGTAATTGGTTCCACTGCTGAAATTCTCTTACCGTTAGGAATTTTTTCCTAATATTCAACCTGAACCTGCCTTCCTGCAGTGTAACTGCATTATTCTATGCCCTACCCACTGAAATGATCAAGAGCAGCCTTCATCTTCTTCCAACTCTCTTTCTGATATTTGAACAATGCTCTCCTATCCCCCATCAGTCTTCTTTTTTCAAGACTAAGCCTATTCCATCCCCTCAATCCTTCCTCATTGCTTACATTCTAAAAATACAGTATTTCAGTTTTTTAAAAAATCTGTTCAAACATGTCTGATTCTCGGAGATTGCCTGAACAAGTCCCTGCAGTTTTCCTGGCAAGGTTTTTCAGAAGTGGTTTGCCATTGCCTGCTTCCTAGGGCTGAGAGAGAGGGATTGGCCCAAGGCCACCCAGCTGGCTTTGTGCCTCAGCAGGACTAGAACTCACGGTCTCCCAGTTTGTAGCTTGATGCCTTCACTACTACACCAAACTGGCTTTCATTTCATTTTAGATTCTACTACCTAGCAAAAGGCCACTACCAGAGTCATAAGGGCATAAGCAGAGCCCAGGTGGGTCAGCCTACACTGCTGTCAAATGCAGAATCTTGCTTATTATACTGGCAAATCCTCTGGAGAGCTCTCCAGATGTCTCCAGCAACAGATAGAAGAACATCCTGCTTTTATATTATTGTCTTATCAAACATTCTCACCATACTACCCTTACCAAGCTTGTCAACTGGGTGTTTTTCTGAGGTCTTGGAGTTCAACTCTCATCGTCTCCTAGCCAAAATGACTGTTGACTATACTGCCAAGATAGTGTCACAGTGAACTTGCATACGTTCGGTTGTGCTATCCCTTACCCACTGAAATGCTAGAATAATCCCCTCTCCCAGAGAACTTGTACCTTGTGGCCATTGGAGGATTTGATGACATCAAAACAAGTACCATAGTAATAGCTTGCACTGCGGTGAAGACAACATTTTCATATTTGGGAGAAAAGATCCCTGCCTATTTGTATTGCATGTTAGGTATTCTTTGCTCTAAGGAAGGAACAGTCACAACCTAGTGTTCTCAGTTTCTTGTTGTAACTTACTTGCTTAGATTTCCAAACCTCCAATACAGGCATGCCTGCAATAATTGAGTTGGGATCTTCCTGGGCTGCAGAGTTCACAGTATCGTTAGCACCAATGACCAACGTCAGATCTGTGTCTGAAAGTAAGAAGAAAAACTCCTTGCCAAAGGAAGACAAAAGCTTCAAAATCCAAGGGTGTGATAAGTACAAATAAAAAAATCTAAACTGGGGAAGCTCTAACATTATTTCCAAGATTGTAAAGGAAAGATGGAAAACACTCTAAATATGGTGAACCAGCTGGGTGGTTTTCAGTTTCTTTTGTCTGCTCCTTATGGTACTATACTTCAGCAGAAAACATGGCTTGGAATACTTTTTCTCTACTCATGAGAAGATCTATGCAAAATAATCTTTGTGCTGAACCAGCCACTGGGTATCAGAACGTACCGTTAGAGTGCGCTACATAGACCACTAGCAAAGTAAGGTTCAGAACAAACCCAATAATGCCATTCCTAACTTCCTAATCCTCATTTATGACCTAACTTATCTTTCCCCAAAGTGACTAAGTTATCCCACTTCATTTTATCTTCACAACAGCTCAGGCTAAGCTCAGTAAAAGCAACTGGGCTTAAGATTGAGTGGTGATTCTGACCGTGGATCTCCTCAGTCCTATATTAGCTAAGGTGAATATTAACCCAGCAGCTAGAAAATCCTCTTTATGTGTAAAGCATTGATCCCCGCTCTCTCTCTCTCTCTCTCTCTCTCATTCTGTTTCCCATGCACATATGCTTGGTATGGAGCAGATGCCTGCTTGAAACCTGTAGATTTCATGTGATTTCATATGAATTTGTTCCATCTTAATTCTGCTGCTCTGCAGTTTGGAGAGATTCCATGCTGGCATATCAGCTTGACAGGCCTAAGCTGCTGAATTCATAGCTGTAATGTTAATTTGAAAATTTATTTCTGATCCAGGACCATTATCCTTCCCTCACTGAGTCATAAAACTTGACCTCCCAAAGAGATGTCAAAGACAATTGCCTCATCTTCTGATAGACTGCCTGAGAAAACAGACCACCTCTGAAGTCAGATGAGAAAAGAGGCTTTGGAACAAAAGTGCTTCTAGCATCCAATGTTTAGAAAGTGGCCCACTGTCATTCTCAGAGGACTGAAAAAAACAGATGCTTCCATCCAGGAGATTGTTTCAGGTGTGCAGCTGATTCAGGCTGGAAGGAGTTCCTACTGTATGTGCCAATTCCTAGTGTGGGGTTATTAGCATGATCAAATAGGCAGAAACTGAGTTTATTTGCCAGCCATTTGCATGAGGGGCTAAGAGCAAATAGGGGCACAGATTGCCTAGGAGATGATGCCAGGAGAAGGAGAAGTCACCAGCGGGGGCAAGAGGAGTGTGTAATTTCTCATATAGCAATATCAGTTCCACAATTACTGGAGCTGCAGATACAATTAAAGACATTTTGCTACCTGAAGAAAACACCATATCTTCTCTTTCATTTCTGGGTATAAAAGCCAACATTTGTTGATGATCGCATCATCGTTCCTTGGCCTAACTTCAAAAGCAGACAAAAATTAATGTCCTTGGATGATTGAAATGCAAACACTAAGCCATGGTTTTGTTGGATTTTTCATTCTCCTCATTCCACTCCTTATCCCTTACCTGGAAAATCTTCATTTATTTCATCCATTTCCAAGACAACATCATATGGCACACCAG